CCATGGCTTCATCCAGAAGATAACTGGTCTAATTAGCATATTACCCTTTTATTAGTATAGAGATCAGGGCAAAGACAGTCAACAGAACATCAGCGTGTGTAACATAACTCGATGTACAGCACTTATTGAGCGCTTGCTAAGTGTCGAGCATCTGGGCTGGGGTTACAAGCTGCGCCTCCTGCACTTCACCTCACAACCACAGCGGTGGGTAGGTACAGTATGGCTCCATTTGTAGGTGGGGAAGCTGGCTGCTGAAATATGCTAATTTTCCCAGGACACAGAGGAAGTGTGAGAGCCAGGCTCTGACTCCGACACTCAGCCCAGCAGCGTCCTCACTACAGAGCCCCCCATGACCACCCAGAAAGGGCGGGGTGGGGGGTCAGGACTGGTGCCACAGGTCCAACCTGCTCCTCTCTCTTCGTCACCCATCCCTGTCAGGCCATTCTTACGATAGTTATTTTTTAATCCTCCCTTGAGGATATTTTTCTATTGATTTTTAGGGAGAGTAGAAGGGAGAGGGAAAGACATCAATGTGAGAGAGACACATTGGTTGGTTGCCTCCTGCAAGTGCCCCAAACAGGGCCTGGGCAAGGGAGGAGCCTGCAACCGACATCCGTGCTCTTAACCGGAATCCAACCTGAGATCCTTCATTCTGCAGGCTGACGCTCTATCCACTAAGCCACACCGGTTAGGCCCATTTTATTTATATATATTCTTCAGATTATTACAAATATTCCTCTTTTTTTCCCCCTACATTGCTCCCCTCCACCAGGTTCCCACCCCACCCTCTGCCCTTTCCCCACCCCCCATTGTCCTCTTCCATAGGTGCACAGTTTATGTTCAGTCTCTTCCCTCACCCCCTACTCTCCTTTTCCCCTAGAATTGTCAGTCCACTCCCCTTCCATACCTCTGATTCTATTATATTCACCAGTTAATATTGTTCATCAGATTTTTTAATTTTCTTAATTTTTAGTTTCACTTGTTGATAGTTACGTATTTGTTGTTCATAATTTTTATCTTTATCTTCTTCCTCTTCCTAAAGAACCCCCTTCAGCAATTCATATAATTCTGGTTTGGGGGTGATGAACTCCTTTTGCTTTCTTTTTTATTAGTGAAGCTCTTTATCTGGCCTTCGATTCTGAGTGATAGCTTCGCTGGGTAGAGTATTTTTGGCTGTAGGTTCTTGCTATTCATCACCTTGACAATTGTATGGGTGCTCCTTTATAGGTAACTACCTGCTTTTCTCTTGCTGCTTTTAATATTTTCTCTTTGTCTTTTGCTCTTGGAATTTTAATAATGGTGTGTCTTGGTGTGGTCCTCTTTGGATTCCTTTTGTTTGGGGTTCTGTGCGCTTCCTGGACTTATAAGTCTAATTCTTTCACCAGGTGGGGAAGTTTTCTGTCACTATTTCTTTCAGTATGCTTTTGGTATCTTGCTCTCTCTTCTTCTGGGACCCCCATAATTCTGATGTTGGTTCGCTTGAAATTGTCCCAGAGGTTTCTTACACTATCTTCAACTTTCTGGATTCCTTGTCTTCTTGCTTCTGTGGAGGAGTGTCCTCTGGCTCTTTGTGTTCCAAATCTTTGACTTGATTCTTGCAATCTTCCAGTCTGTTTTTAGGACTCTATAATATTTTTTATTTCAGACAATGTATTCTTTATTTGATCCCTTTTCATATCCTTATAGGTCTCATTTATTTTATCGGCCTTTTCTAGGAAATTCTTGAAAAACCTTGTAACTGTAGTTTTGAACTCAGTGTCCATTCTTTTACTATCCTCCATATCCTTCCTTTGTGTCCTGCCTCTTCTCTGCATTTTAGCTTCTTCCCTGATTTGATGGAATAGTTTTGTGTGCTAAGTGTTCTGGTAGAGCCCAGTAGCCAGCCTTCCTAGTTACCTGAGGTGGACAGTTTTGGTGTAGCCCTTTGTGGGCTATGTGTGCAGTCTTGTTGTTAAGCCTTGCTTATTGTTGGTATCACTGGGAAGCGTTGATCTCCAAGCCAATTGGCTGTGAGGATCAGCAGTGTCTCAGCTAGGAGGGCTTCTGTGCTCCGCTTGGATGGGGCGGAGTCTCGGGGTGGCACAGACAAGCTTTGGTTCCCCATCAGTCCCACCGTAGGGAAGTCCTATTTACAGCGAGACCCACAAGATTGGTTGCAGGCGCTCGCACCACTTAAGTAAAGGCTGTTCTCGAGTTTTGTCTGCTCCCTGACAGCCAGTTTTTTCCGGCTCAGAGTTGTCTCTCAGTGCAGTTGGTAGTTTTTTTTCTCCTGAACGAGAAAGCCAGCCTCCTGGAGGGCTTCTGTGTTCCGCTTGGATGGGGCGGAGTCTTGGGGTGGTGCAGACAAGCTTTGGTTTCCCATCAGTCCCTCCCTACGAGGATCCTGTTCCTGAGTCCCGCAGTAATGGCTGCAGGCTTCACGCACCTCTGAGAGAGCCTTGCCCACTGCCTGACAGTCCGGCCTCTCCCTGACTGGGGCTGTCTACCTGAGCAACAGGGTGTCTCTGTTTTCCTCCAAAACAAAGCCAGCCGCACGTTAGCTGTCTGCCCTCTCCACATGCCTGGAGTAAGCCAGCAGCGAGCTTGGCGGCCGCCTCTTCCACGTGCACAGTTCTCCGCACCTTCACAGTTCCTGAGGCTCAGCGTCCCTTCTCTCCCCTTCCCAGATGGTAGAGCCTCCACTCAGCCAGCTGTCTGGTGTTTCAGGGCAATGTTTCCTCTGTTTTCCAGTTGAAAATTTAAAATTGTTGTGGTAGGCTGCAATTAGGTGTCTACCCTATGCCGCCATCTTGGTTTCTCCTCAGGGCCATTTTTAATGGTTGTCCAGCAGTGTGTTTTATGGGTGTGTTATCCACTTAGTCCTTTTGTCTTGGATATCTGTACCAGGTCTGGGTTTGCAATTACAAGTAGAAATGAGGTGGTTTCTTTGAACCAAACTGATTCCCGTGGGATGAATGAGTAAGAATAATGCAGAAGTATTGCCAGCCTATCTCAGGCTGTTCCGGTAACCACACCTTGCCCCTCTTCCCCCCATCCCTCCATGACACACAGACCAGATACAGGGCAGCACAAAGTAGGGTTACAGTTGTGAGTTCGAGAAACATTGTTTATTCTTGTATTATTATTCATTAATTATTTTATCATTTTCCATACTAATAGCTATAAGCCTGCTTTTGACTCACCCTGTATGTACCTAAATGCACTCTTATTTATACAGATCGCAAATTTTAATACATAACCGTAAACACTGTAAGATGATTAACAAACAAGCAAGTTGCAGTGTTCCTTGCCGCCATGAAGCTGAGCTGGCTGTGTGTCCAGCCCCCGGAGAAGGCAGAGTCTGGGCGGAGTTCCCGCCCGGCCTTATCATGCTGAGTGGGTGGAAGGGTTGCTGGTGACACAGAGCAGCGGCATGCCACCCGCCCGCAGCTGCGCTCACACCAGCCAGTTATCCGCTCCAGAGAACTCTGCCCCAGCTATCTGCTGGCCCTGGCGGGCGGGGCGTGGGTGCGGCTGGGAGCCGAGCTGAGCTGCCTCCCATCCCAACACACACGTGGCCTGAACCACCAAGGCCGATCTCTTAGTCCCTCTCTTGGCCCTGGATTCCTCGGAAAAAAGAATTCAGCAAATGACTAAGGTGTTTGCACCCTGAGGGAGCTAAGCTGGTTCCCTCCTTAAAGTGACTCAGTCCCTGCATTTGCTTTCAGCGGCAGCGGTGCCTGCTTGCCTGGGTTCTGCCCTCCTGCCCAAGGAGCCAGGCAGCCAGCCGCCCCCATAGTGTCTCTGGGTGGTCTGCAGGGAAGGGACTGTAACGGACGGCGCATGCTGGACTCCAGGACTGTGCCAGGTGGCGGGCACTATCTCAGCTGGAGGGGCCGTTCCTGAAAGCAGCGGAGTGGCCTCGATCCCACAGGGATCTGTGTCTCAGCACACAGCCGGTGCTTGGCCAGACTCCCTCCGGGGAGCTTTGCGGCGACCCCAGAGGCTCTGTTGGCAGGATCCCAGCCACGGGCACGCTGGCTGCCCTGGCGAGGGAGCAGGACTCCTCCCTGGCTGGGTGCTGTGCTCCTGCACCTGACCAGGTGTCTGCGGCTCCTGCAGGGGGCGCCTCGGGGAGGGCAGCACTCCCATGCCCGCCGACTGCAGCCTGTCGTCCATGCTCCATTCTAACTGTAGCTTCCTGGGCACTAGCTTAGTCCTGCCACCGGCTTCCCCTGCCCAGGTCCTTGCCAGTCAGAAGAACAGAGGTCCCAGCACCAGAGCTAGTGCGGCCCGGCTGCTGGGGGCTGGGAGGGATTCCCAGGCCTCTCGGGTCTTGACTCTGCCCTCCTCGTGGGTAGCCTGGCGCCGGTGGGCTGGGAGAGTGACCATGAGCTGAAGGTGCAGCCGGGCACCCAGTGGCCCACCTGCCCGGAGCCCGGCGCCCTGCCCAAAAGTTTGGGTCTGAAAGCCGACTCTCGACTTGCAAACTGTGACCTAAAGCCAATGTGCTGGTTTCACTGTTTGGACAGAGACAGCCTCCTTTAACCGGCCTGGCGGCCCAGGGATATGGGGCAGACGGGAGCTCCGCCGTCCGTTCTCAAAGAGGCGCTCAGAATCCAGCCCATATTCTGTTCTAACAACTACGGAGCTGACTCTCCGCACTTCGGCTCATTCTAGAAGAGAGGGAGGAGGGCAGCCTGTCCCCTCGCCCTCCACCCTCCTGAGAGCCAGGAGGTGTGGCCGGAGTGACCCTGAAAACGGGCACCTCCTTCCCCCTGGTCCGTCCTGGAGGGGGCGGGAGGCGGCGCTGGCGAGCAGCTCAGAGGTCAGGCTCGGCTCCTGATGCCACGCTGATGGAGAGCCCAGCACGAGGGAGAAGGACGATGTCTCGACCGTCTGTTTAAGTTCTGAATGCACAGTGTCCAGCCGCCTCCCCCGGCGGCGCCTCGCCCTGTGCCCGCAGGGCTGCGCTGCTCCAGCCGCACACGCCACAGGCTGGTGCCCCCGTCTCTCCGCAGAGCCGAGATGGCCGTCCTCTCCAAGGAGTACGGGTTCGTGGTCCTGACCGGGGCCGCCAGCTTCGTCCTGGTGATGCACCTCGCCTTAAACGTCGCCAAGGCCCGCAAGAAGTACAAGGTGGAGGTGAGTGGGAACAGGGTCTGGGCGAGAGCGTGTTTCCGTCCTGGAGGGCGAGGCGCATGGTCAGTGGTGGCAGCGTTCACGGGGCCTCGTAGAGAGACTGCCCCTTCCCGGCAGGAAGGCGCCTCCTGCAGGGAGGCCCGGGGCGCTGGCAGGGGACAGCCTGCTGGGCCGAGCTGCTCGCCGGGAGGGGATGCTTCTGGGGGGGGTTCGCAGGCAGCGCTGTTCCCGGCGTGGCCCCCCGGCCACCGCCCTGTGTCCGCAGCGGTGGCGGTGCCGCCCTGCGCGGGCCTGAGCCGCTGGGCCAGCAGGGGCCCGTCACATCCCCGTTCCCTCTGCCCGGTCCAGAGGGCTGGCTGCCGCCGTTGGCCTGGAGCGGTTCTGTTTAGTGACTCATCTCTGGTCTCCGAGCTCATCCTAGCACCGAGTCTCTCTCCTTGGCTCTAACGGAGTGCCAGAAGTCAGAGCTCCCCTGTTCCCGCCGCCCCCTGGGTCCCCGGAGGCTGAGGGGAGGGTGTTCCCGTGGTGTCCAGTGTGTCGGACACCGGCGATGGCCGCGGCACAGCTGCCCTCCCTTACTCCTGGGAATGAACGGCCGAGTGGCCCTGCCTCTGAGAACCCAGCCTGGTCACTGCGATGTTTAAGCCAACGTAGGCCTTAGGCTAGATTAGCGTCCAGGTTCGTGTTAACTGTCTTGACCGTCTGATCAGCAAGCCCTCTGTGTCCGCAGTATCCCACCATGTACAGCACGGACCCTGAAAACGGGCACCTCTTCAACTGCATCCAGCGAGCGCACCAGAACACGTGAGCGGCCTCGGCACTGACGGCGCGGGGGGCGGGGGGCGGGGGGGGGGCAGCCACCCCTGCTGTCTGTCAGAGGGCGGTGGTGATCACGGGCGCTCACCAAGTGTCATTTAAAAACCCGTAGTGCGCAGGCGGGACCTTACGTAAGCACAATGAAGAGTTAGGATGGTGGCGCCCTGGGTGACCCCTCCAAGGTGGCTCCCGTGCAGCGCCCCCTACGGGAGGTGTGGCCGCTGCTTGGGGGGATACTGAGTCCCCCAGCCCCCGCCCCGCCCCGCCCCCAACCAATGTTTCTCTAATGGTGTTCAAAGACACCACCCACCCATCACAGCTGGTCAGGCGGCGCCCCCTGCTGTCCCTCGTCCGCTCTGACCGTGTTCAGTAAGAGCTGCTCCTCGCTTACACCGGGCGCTTTTAAAACGTCTCTCTTCTCTTGCAGGTTGGAAGTGTACCCTCCCTTCTTATTTTTCCTCGCTGTGGGGGGTGTGTACCACCCGGTGAGTTGATCCCGGGGTGTCATCTGGGATCCGATGTGTTTCCTCTAGGCCCTGTGTGTTTATTTAAAGAATTTCAGTCAGTTGCTTCTAACAGAGTGTTGTTGGATTTTTAAATAGATTCTTATTAATTTCAGAGAGGAAGGAAGAGGGAGAGAGAGGAACATCAATGATGAGAGAGGATCGTTCATGGGCTGCCTCCTGGGGATGAAGCCCACAACCTGGGCATGTGCCCTAGCCGGGAATCAAACTGGTGACCTCTTGGTTCCTCAGCCATGAGCCACATCCACCGGGCAGAACTGTGGTGTTTTTTGAATCTTTATTGTTGAAAGCATTAGATATGTCCCCTTTTTCCCACTGACCCTCTTCAGCGCACCCCCACACACACACACACACACACACACACACCTGCCCTAGGCCTTCGCCACCCTGTTGTCTGTGTTAACAGAGTTCTTTAAAGCGGCAGACTTTCCTTGTGGGTTTTGTTTGTTTTTTCACAGATGAGGGGAAACATCCTGGATACTGTGTAAGCTTCTCAGTCAATTAGCTACGGGATAGAAGAGTCAGAATTTGAACCCAGGCCTGACTCTCTTAGGCTCATGTCCATGCATGTTTTACTTTGCGTATTCATTCATTCCTGCAACCAACACTCACTGATCGCCTCAGGTTACGGCGGCGAACCATCCAGCCGACCTGCTCTCAGGGGCCTGACCTGCAGGCACCCAGTGTCCGGTGGTCCATTAGGGGGTGGATGGGCCTGGGCGGCCACCGGAGCCCCGTGGGCCGTGGGGCTGGCCTGCCCTCTGCCTGTGTCAATCAGGCGGGTTTCCTGAGCCCGATTACGTGCCCCGAGTTCTGCCCGAGTGCAGGCGTCCACCTTCTGGCACGGCCCCCGCAGCCTCTGGTCGCACCAGCTGCCAGATCAGCACGTCCACAGCTCGTGGCACGAGTGACATGATTAGCTTTTTGCTAAAACATTGCATGGTCAACACTAGATGTCAGCACAGCTCTGCCTATTGAATGCAAACACTAACGTGCTCCCTTTTTTTTTCAGCGAGTCGTCTCGGGCCTGGGCATGGCCTGGATCGTGGGACGCGTTCTCTATGCCTACGGCTACTACACCGGAGGTAAGGGCACGGCTCCCGCCGGGGAAGCAAAGTGCGAATCTGAGGCCGGTTCCCTTCAGCAGGACTTGAAGGAAAGGGGGTGGGACGGGAGGGTTAGGTGAAAGGTCTGTTCCCGTCTTTCTTTTTACTCACCTTTGAACAGTAACAAAACTTACCCTCATCGGGCACTTTGTGTCCATTGCTGCTCTAAGAACTTTGCATCTCGCTATTTCAAAACTTCTGGCAATTCTGTGATGGAGATAATGAGGTGACCAGACAGACATCCCACTTTTGGCGGGACGATCCCGATTTTTACCAATTTGTCCTGCGTCCCTCGGCATTTACGCTGCGGGACAAATTGGTAAAAATTAGGTCATCTGGTCACCTTAAAATAGCATCTTCTCTCACCGATGGGGAAACTGAGGCTTGGAAAGATTAATGCTCTCTTGGTCACAGAGCTACGAGGTGGAAACTGAGAGCCAGGACTCTGTGACTCCGGGCCCTGCTCCTCACAGCTGGGGGCGGACAGACAGAAGAGAGAGGTTCTGCCACCCTCACATCTTTAAAGAAGGGGGAGGCCGGCCCAGGTCCAATTGTCCTGTAACTTCCTGAGGCCCAGGCAGCCCTGGTGTGACGCAGGGCATTGCGTGAGGCAGACTGGCCTCTGACCAGGCGTCTGCCGCTGGAGGGACGGGCTCACGGGTGCCAATGGCTGTCCCTGCGGAGCTGCCAGTAACGTCCACTCTTCTTCTCTCCCTTCCCCCCAGAGCCCAGCAAGCGGAACCGGGGGGCCCTGGGCTCCATCGCCCTCCTCGGCCTGATGGGCACCACTGTGTGCTCTGCCTTCCAGCACCTCGGATGGGTGAAAACCGGCTTGGGGTCCAAGTGCTGCCACTAAGGCTGGGTGGGGTGTTAAAAACTCTCATTCATTTTGAATGACTTACTTTTATTTCCAGTTACTTTTTTTTTTCTAAATATAATAAAATTTATCTGGCACCAGCCTCCTAAGTAACCCTGACTCTGTGACTTATTTCCTGTTGATCTTTATGTAAATAAGCGGCCTGCTCCTACTCCTGTCCCTGCCCCTGCCCCCTGCCGGCGCGGCTGCCTCAGGGTGGGGGAATGTCTCATTATGGTGGCAGCTGTGAAAACGGGGCTCTGAGAGGAAGGGTGCAGTTGAAGAGGTGCCCGTTTTCAGGGTCCTTGCTGTACACGGTGGGACACTGAGAGCTTAGTGATCAGACGGTCAGGACAGTTAGGTTCTGGTTAGGATCTGAGATTACCGCTACACAGGGTAGCAGTGAGGATTCTTCAGAATCTCTCCGCAAGGCCAGGCAGAGGCTCCTGTGGCTGAGAATCGTCCTGTGCACTGGTGGTCCGATTCCCAGTCAGGGCACGAAGCTAGGTTTTGGGCTTGGTCCTTGGTTGGGGTGAGTACAGAAGGCAACCAATAGATGTTTCTCTCTCCCTCCCTCTCTCCAAGCATGACCTCGGGTGAGGATTAAAATAATTACCATTATCCTAGCCTGTTTGGCCCAGCAGATAGAGCGTAGGCCTGCAAACTGAAGGGTCCCAGGTTCAGTTCTGGTCAAGGGCAAGTACCTCAGTTATAGGAACCTATTCCTGGAGCATTAACTGTTCTTACTAAAGGTCCATCTAATGGTAAAGCTGCTTATCATACAGTGAATTCAGACCGAGTCATCCAGACCACACTTCTGTACAAAGAACTGAATTAGAAGCTATTAAGGCTGTATTGCAGGATTTCCAGGAGCCTCTCAATGTTATTTCTGATACTGCCTATACTGCTGGCCTGGTAAACAGAATTAAGTCTGCTCGATTAAAATAGCTCAGTGACCAAAGTCTATTTATACTATTTAAACAGGTACAGCAAGTTGTACAGCAAAGACAATATCCCTTTATATTACTCACTAGAGGCCCAGTGCATGAAATTTATGCCTTGGGGAGGGAGGTCCCTCAACCCAGCCTGCACCCTCTTGCAATCCGGAACCCCTCAGGGGATATCCGACTGTTGGTTTAGGATCAGGCCTAAACTGGCAATCGGATATCCCTTTCACAATCCAGGACCACTAGCTTCTAACCGCTTGCCTGCCTGCCTGATTTGCCCTGAACACTCTGCTGCCTGACTGATCACTCCTAGCTACTCTGCCTGCTGCCTGATTGCCCCTAACCACTCACTTGCCTGCCTGATTGCCTCTAACCACTCTGCCTGCCTGCCTGGTTGGTCCTAACCACTCACCTGCCTGCCTAATCACCCCTAACTGCCTCTGCCTGCCTCAACACCCCTAACTGCTCTCCTTCCTGCCTACCTGATCACCCCTAACTGCCTCGGCCTCGACGCCGCTGGCACAGCATCATCTGGAAGGACATCAAGGTCATTCAGCTGTCTGGTCTAATTAGCATATTATGCTTTTATTATAGATATCAGGGCTCATCCCACCCTGCGTGGTCCTTCAACAAAAGGAAATGCACACTTTATTACAACAGGCACATTATGGGAATACCATAAAATTCCCAGGACAGGCAATTATAGAATGCCAACATCAGCGGCTAAAATCCCAACTTGAAAAACAAAATGGGGAATAGGAATGCTGGAGAAATCTGTAGATAGACTACACCATGCCTTAATTACTTTAAATTTTTTAAATTGGTGTAATGCTGATGGCAAGACACCAATAAAATTACACTGATGTCATAATAAGCCAAAAGAAAAAAGGCTTGATCAAATGGAAAGATACTGAGTCTGGTTTATGGAAAGGTCACAACCCTTTATTAACCTTTGGTCGAGAATACATTTGTGTATTTCCAGAAAACTCCTCCAAGCCCATGTGGATTCCTGCAAGGAACACCAAACTCCAAATTAAAGCCACAGAAGAAGCTGACCAAACTAATGAGGACCTTAAACCTGAAGCCTCAACCTGTATCTGTGGTCGCAGGCAGACAGACGGGGAATTTCTCCAGCCACAGATAGCAGTAGCCCCAAGCAACATGCTGAAGATAAGGAATGGGAGTAGAATGAGAGAGATGACAAACAATCTGGAGATGACCTGGGGGATAGTGAAGAACAGTCCAGAAAGCTGAACCAGTTTGTGAGGAAACAAGAACCCTGAGAACCCCTGAGGGTGTTTCTCCTGCTAGCAGTCGTCAGTTGTGTGTAAGCAGATGGGGAATGAAATGTCTTAAAAGGCCGAAACCGGTTTGGCTCAGCCTGGGGGACTAAAAGGTCCCAGGTTCGATTCCGGTCAAGGGCATGTACCTTGGTTGCGGGCAAATCCCCAGTAGGTGTGCAGGAGGCAGCTGATCCAGGATTCTCTCATCGATGTTTCTAACTCTCTATCCCTCTCTCTTCCTCTCTGTAAAAAATCAATAAAAATATACTTTAAAAAAAAAGTCTTAAAAGGACTCCAGCCCTGCAGACAACATACACCATTCAAGATTAAGCCGAAACCGGTTTGGCTCAGTGGTAGAGCGTCGGTCTGCGGACTGAAAGGTCCCAAGTTCGATTCCAGTCAGGGGCATGTACATTGGTTGCGGGCACATCTCCGGAAGGGGGTGTGCAAGAGGCAGCTGGTCGATGTTTCTAGCTCTATCTCTCTCCCTTCCTCTCTCTAAAAAAATCAATAAGGAGATCCAAGATGGCTGCGCCCAGGTAAACACCTAGCCTCAGCTGCACACAATTTCAATAAAATACAACTAAAATATAAAATGGACATTACCCAGAACTACAGGAAAGTCGACTGACTGGAAATTCTATGACGAGAAGCAAGGAGAAAACCAGAAGGAAGCGCAGAGGAGCTGTAAAAGCCCAAGGTACGGAGACACGCGGCGCGCAGAGAGGACAGAGCCGGAGAGGAGGGAGGCCGAGTGCCTGGCTGGCGTTCCCTAGCGGGAAGGAGATAAAACTCCGACTGTGTTGGGCCCCAGTTGTGACTGCTCTGAACCCCAGTTCTAGGCCAGACCCCGGGGACCCAGGCTCATCCATAGGGAGCTGGGCTGTAAGGCGGAACCCCAGGGGAGCGGCGAAAGGAGGTCCCAGCGGCGCGCACATTGCGTGCAGAGAAGGGACAGTCGGCTGTACCGCGGGATTGCCCTGGCCGGAAGGAGACTGGGGCTCCAGTCTGCTCTGAACGCCACCTCCAACTCCACTTCCAACTGAACTGAACCCCAATACCGGGCTCATTGGGGGAGAGAATAGACTGTTTGGCAGCAGGCGAAAATTGAGGGCACCTATCTCTCAGAGGCGCTTTGCAGCGAGCACTGAAGGACCCTGAGATGCAGGAGCCGCATAGGGCGGGGCTGACGGAAGCCAAGACTGTAGGCTCCACCCTGAAATCCCATCCCATCTGTAACTGCGAAATGCGACAACGAAATAGATCACAAACGAAAGAAATGGAGGACAAAAAGCGACTGGATATAGAGATCAAATCTACGCTTATAAGGTTTTTCAAGAATTTCCTAGAAAAGATGGATAAGACCTATGAGGATATGAAAAGAAATCAACTAGAATTAATAAGGAGTTATCAAGAAATGATAAGGGATCAACAAGAAATAAAGAATACATTGTCTGAAATAAATATTATACAGAGTCCTAAAAACAGGATGGAAGATCGCAAGAATCAAGTCAAAGATTTGGAACATAAAGAGCCAGAAGACACTCCTCCACAGAAGCTAGAAGGCAAGAGAATCCAGAAAATTGAAGATAATGTAAGAAACCTCTGGGACAACTTCAAGCGAACCAACATCAGAATTATGGGGGTCCCAGAAGATGAGAGAGAGCAAGATATCGAAATCATACTGAAAGAAATAGTGACAGAAAACTTCCCCCACCTGGTGAAAGAATTAGACATACAAGTCCAGGAAGCACACAGAACTCCAAACAAAAGGAATCCAAAGAGGACCACACCAAGACATATCATAATTAAAATTCCTAGAGCAAAAGACAAAGAGAGAATATTAAAAGCAGCAAGAGCAAAGAAGGTAGTTACCTATAAAGGAGCGCCTATACGATTGTCAGCTGACTTCTCAACAGAAACCATGCAGGCCAGACGGGAATGGCAAGAAATATTCAAGGTGATGAATAGTAAGAACCTACAGCCAAAGATAATCTATCCAGCAAAGCTATCACTCAGAATCGAAGGCCAGATAAAGAGCTTCACTAATAAAAAAAAAGCTAAAGGAGTTCATCAACACCAAACCAGAATTATATGAATTGCTGAAGGGGGTTCTTTCAGAAGAGAAAGTAAATAAAGATAAAAATTATGAACAACAAATACGTAACTATCAACAAGTGAATCTAAAAACCAAGGAAATTAAAAAAATCTGATGAACAATATTAACGGTTGAATATAATAGAATCAGAGGTATGGAAGGGGAGTGAACTGACGATTTTTGGGGAAAAGGGGTGAGGGGGATGTGGGAAGAGACTGAACATAAACTGTGCACCTATGGATGAGGACAATGGGGAGTGGGGAAAGGGCAGAGGGTGGGGTGGGAACCTGGTAGAGGAGAGCAATGGTGGGGGGGGGGGGAAGGAACATTTGTAATAATATGAACAATAAAAACTTATTTTTAAAAATCAATAAAATATTTCTTAAAAATTTATTAAGAAAACAAAAAGGGGGAAATGCTGGAGGCTAAATTTAGCCAATAGCAGTTAGCATATTAATGCAAAAAGAAAACACTGGAAGGCAAATGGACTTTGATATTCATCAGGGCCGAAAATCAGCATAATATTGCCCTTCTGTGGGCTCAATGGCTCAATGCAATTCCCTAACCTAATAATCCTTTTACTGTTTACCAAACTTTACCTTTGATATGCTTGTATGCATTGCTAAAGGGAAAATGTGTATTCAAGTAAATAAAAGGTGGACCAGGCCAGAAAGTCAGTGTGTATCTTCAAGAGGCTCCACCTGGCCTCCAATGCCTTCTAAATTCATATTTTTTGTATAGCATTTTCATTTGTGTGTTGGCCCCTCCTTCAGATCCTGAACCCTAGCCATGAAGGTCCCAGCAAAGGGGACCCCACAGTGTGAGGTCACCAGGACCTGACAGCTCTCCCACAGGGCGTAGGAGCTATTACAGGTGTTTCACGTCAGCCCATCCCATGTCCTAAGTGACCTTGAGAGTTGTTTCGTTTCAAAACACGACACTGGAAGAATGAACAGTGTGATTTATTTGGCTCTAGTGCAGCTATTTGGCAAATAATTTGCACATTTAACAGGAACTGCTGCATCCAGACAGCAAGCTGAAGTTCAAAGCAGAGGACGTGTCCTCTCCCGCAGCTCCACAGAAACAAAACCTTTCTAGGCCAGTTACCGTTCACCGCTGACCTGCCCAGTATCTAGTCCCCTCCCTTCCCGATCATCAGCTTTCTGTAGAAGGAAAAGAGCCAGAGCTTAAGGCAGCTGCTGTGGGTCCACAGAACCTGAAAGGAACACATTCTTCCAGGCAAGCGAGACAGCAGAGGGCAGGGCTCGGAGGCCTGGCCCTGGTCCGTCTCCAGAAGGGGTTCGGGCGGTTCAGGATGGCACTCACTGCTTCTCCATAGAACCAAGGCACTTGTGCGCCCTCAGGGAAGATGCCTGAGTGACGAGAGTGACGCTGAGCCAGGCGTGGACCCACGAGACCGCGTCTGGGTCGCACTGATGCCCTGCAAGGCCTCCACCGGTCTCACGGCTCAGCCTGGCACGTCCACGGGGTTCACAGCTGGCTCTCAGAAAGCAGACTCCACGTCGCCCATCTCCACACACACGGTCTTCAGCTGTGAGTAATACTCAATGGTCACCCGGCCGTTCTCTCTGCCAAACCCTGCAAGGAAGACAAGGGAAGACGATGAGCCCAAAGGTCAGTGGCCGTCGGAGACAGGCCTGCCCTCAGCCTGCAGAGGAACACAGAGGCAGCACGTTTCTTAGAAAGAAACCCCTTCCCTGGTACACCAGCTGCGAGCCAGCGTGGGAAGTAACCTGGCCAGCAGGGCCGAGACCCTGCCCGCAGCCGGGGACCAGGCTCCGTGCGGAAGGGCAGTGTCCCCTGCTTGGCCTTTCCTATCAGCCTGCCCCAGACCTAGGTAGGCTCGCCTCCTAAGGGCAAGGCCCAGACCCCAAAAATGCACGTCTCCAGGGGCACCATTCAGAGGGACAGAGGCCCAGCCAGCCCTCTGCTAATCCTGAGCAGAGCTGGCCATCCTCCGTCTCCCCCTCATCCCGTGGGCATGCCCGTGCCACATGTCTGTGGGCCCCACTCCAAAGCCGCAGACGGGAAGGGAACGGCGGCCTGGGAGGTCCATGAGACGTAGCCGCAGGTCACAAACCCACTCCCCGGCACTGACAGTTACACAGGAACAAACAGCCCTTCCCGGCTCTGCGCCTGGCCTGTGTGTCCCACCTGGCTGGCCCCAGAAGGACAGGCATGACTATGGACTGTGATTAGGGAACGCCAGGGAGAGACCAAATCACACTGTCAGATTAACACCCTCTGCTTCACCAGCACACACCGGGTTCCTACGCTGGCCAGCACTGAGGTGGCCATAAATACGGCGCTCACAGCCTAGAGGAAAAGTAACTCTCCCACATGACAGACCTCCCGAGATGCACATCAGCCGGCAGCAGGCACCCGACCCTGAGTGGTGACCATGCTGACAGGCTGGGAGCCTGGTCGACAAGGACCAATGAGGACAGTCCCCCTGGAGACCTGGTGGCCTGTCCCCCCCACCCACCTCCCCGCCCCTCCCCAGCGCTCACCAGACTTCTTGTAGCCGCCGAAGGGCAGCTCCACGGGGCTGACGTTGTAGTTGTTGATGTAGCACACGCCGGCCTGCAGCTCGGCCACCACGCGGTGAGCGCGCTGGAGGTCCCTGCAGGGAAGACATGGCTTAGCCTGCAGCCTCACCTTAACATGCAGATGCTCCCCCCCGCTCACAGCAGCCGCAGTTCAGGCACCGCATGCCGCCAACGCGGAGCAGAGAGACCGCACGGCAATTCCTGGGGGTGAGGGGGAGCAGGGCCGACACCCTTGGAAACATGAGGTCAGTGAGAGCTGAAGTGTGTGGTCCCACTTACAGAAAACACTCAGAGCAAGCAGCCTGGAGACAGGAAGACCTGCCAGGCTGGGGGCGGGACAGTCAGCTCGCCTTGCTGTCCTGAGCTGATGGGAATGTCCTGACATTGGGCTATGGTGACGCTGCACAGCTCTGCGAATAGCTGAGAGCCACTCGGGGCGCACTTTATGCGGGTGAGCTATTCAGCCCGGGAGTGACCCCCATCGAGCTGTCAAAGGCGTAGGCAGCAAGACAGCCCCTCGATGCAGTCCCAGCGCAGCTGCTCACAGCGGCTGTCAAAACGGGGCGCTGCTCGATATGCTGCCCCAGGGGGGTCCCGGTCACTGCCCTTTGTCCACACCCTCAGGGGAGGCCGCCGAGAGGGAGCCCAAGGTGAGCTGTGGGATGGGGAGATGACACGGTCACACAAATGGACCGCCTGCAGGTATGAAGGAGGCTGTGCATGTGGGGCCGAGGCGGATGGGAAACCTGTACCTCCTCACTATCATGGGAAACCTAAAATCACTCTGGAAACCACCATTTTTGTTGGCTTGATTGTTTTTGTTTGTTTTGGTTTTGGCTAATCCTCATCCGAGGATGTTTTCCACTGATTTGTAGAGAGGGTGACAGGGAGGAAGAGACAGAGAGAAACATTGGTGTGAGAGAAACACTTTAATTGGTTGCTTCCTGCATGAGCCCCAACCAGGTCCCAGGCCAGGGAAGAGTCTGCAATCAAGGTATATGCTCCTTCCTGAAACTGAACCCAGAACCCTTTATCCACAGGCCAAAGATGCTCTATCCACTGAGCCAAACCAGCCAGGGCTGTTGTTTGTTTTGGTAGTGTTTTTTTTTTTAATTTATTTATTGATTTTAGAGAGAGGAAGGTGGAGGGAGAGATAGAGAGAGGATCAATTTGCTGTCCCACTTATTTATGCATTCATTGGTTCATTCTTGTATGTGCCCTGCCCAGGGATTGAACCTGCAACCTTGGTGGTGGGGACCATGCTCTAACCAGCTGAGCTACCTGCCCAGGGCTGTTGTTTTTTAAAGCAGCAGCTCCCGAACCCTTCCTCGGAGCTCAAGCAGAAGCCATTACATCAGGTCCTCAGGGAGATGTGTCTTCCTTCCCAGGTTCGGGCCACAAAGTGACAAAAAAATAGAACCTTGTCTATCGCCAAAGAAACAGAAAAATCCCAAGTGTGATGCCGGCTTAGAAAACTGCCAAAGCCCCGGCCGGTGTGACTCCGCTGGCTGCAGCATCCTCCCGCACCCCAACTGTTGCAGCTCAATTCCCGGTCAGGGCACACACCCAGGATACGGATTCAATCCTTCATCAGGGCGGATGCAGGAGGCAACCAATCCGTTTCACTCTCACACAGATCTTGTTCTCTCCCTCTCTCCTGCTCCCCTTGATTCCCCTCCCCCCCGTTCCTCTCTCTAAAATCAATAAATAAGTAGCCCTAGTGGATTTGGCTCAGTGGATAGAGCACTGACCTGTGGACTGAAGGGTCCTGGGTTCGATTCCCAGGGGCATGCCCGATCTCCAATGTGAGGTGTGCAGGGGGCAGCCAATCAATGACTCTCATCATTGATGTTTCTATCTCTCTTTCCCTCTGCCTTCCTCTCTGAAATCAATAAACAAAATTTTTATTTTATTTTTTTATTTTTTTTTAAATATATTTTATTGATTTTGTACAGAGAGGAAGGGAGAGAGATAGTTAGAAACTTCGATGAGAGAGAGTGTCATCGATCAGCTGCCTCTTGCACACCCCCCACTGGGGATATGCCCACAACCAAGGTACATGCCCTTGACCGGAATCGAACCCGGGACCTTTCAGCCCCAAGCCGACACTCTATCCATTGAGCCAAACCGGTTTCGGCAATAAACAAAATTTTTAAATGAAATAAAAATTTTTAAAGAGGAAAGGATGATTTTTTGTTAGAGCCCCTTTAAATAAAATCAAAAAGAAGAAAAAAAAAAAACTGCCTATAACTGCCAAAACTATGCAGTTTGCATATCATCAAGCAAACACTGTGCTTCCAAACCACCTCTTACTCTCAGTGCGGTGGTTCCAGCTCACACGGAAGGACATCAGTCACAACACGGCTCACAGCGCTGAGCCTGGAAACACCCCCATGTGCACAGACAGGAAACAGCCCAGCGCTGACACGCCATAGGCTTCCCAAGTCCTGGACCTGGACACTCAGGCTTGGGGCCCTGGGGTCAGCACCACCTACTTATTCCACAAGCCAATAAAGAAGGCGGCATTCTCATCAACCAAGTTTGCAGCTCAGTTCAGCTCCGTAGCAGGGCTGTGGCCACGGAGGGCAAAATACACAGTGCTACTTGGCATCTTCTGACTTTACAGGAAATGCCGATGGAACGTGATGGGCAGACCCGAGGGGGAGCCAGATCAGCCCCATCAGAGCAGCCAGCCACCTGCCCAGAGCCAGCGTGGGGGGCCTTCCCCACGTACCTGGTGAAGACGCCGGCGGCGAGTCCAAAGGAGGTGTTGTTGGCTCGTTCCAGAACCTCCGCCTCAGTGTCGAACGACAGAATGGACATAACGGGCCCAAAGATCTCTTCCTTCACGCAGGTCATGTCATCCCTGCAGTCACCTGCGAGCAGCGGGACAGACAGGATGCCGTGGGAGCCGCTGCTCGTCCACAGCGAGTGACCAGCCGTACACGAGGACGGCCGTCACACGTACAGCCGTGACAACGGGGCCACAGGCCGGCGGCCAGGCAGAGGAAGGACCGCGTGAACCAGGCACATCCGGGACCAACGGCTCTGAGCTCTCAAAGTGGCATTTTCTGAAAGAATTTACTGAGGGAGTGCTCATGAAAGGACATTCACTGATGCCCGGCCAGTGTGGCTCAGTGGTTGAGCATCCACCCATGAACCAGGAGGTCACAGTTCGATTCCCAGTCAGGGCACATGTCCGGATTTTGGGCTCAATCCCCAGTGGGGGTGGGAGGGCCATGCAGGAGGCAGCTGATGTTACGATTCTCTCTCATCATTGATGTTTCTCTCTCTCTCCCTCTGAAATCAATTTAAAAAACATTAAAAATAAACACCATTCACTGAAAAAGATATAATGTTAAGGGGACTGCCCCAATTTGTTAAATTTTACATATATGATTGTCTTTTATACCTTCCCACATTTTCTTAGTGACTCTGTGATAGAATTAGATACAAAAAATAAAGTCTCACTATAAAAACATAACCTTAGACATAACCAATGGAGTGTTTACTTGATATGAAAATGTACTTAAGTTCCCGTAAGAGGCCAATTCTTTCGTTTTTAAAAGTCTTTTTATTGCTTTTTTAGAGAGAGAGAGAGGGAGGGAGCGAGAGGTAGAAACATCAGTGATGAGAGAGAATCACTGATTGGCTGCCTCCTGCACACCCCCACGTAGGGACTGAGCCTGCAACCCAGGCATGTGCCCTGGCCGGGAATCAAACCTCTAGGTTCCTAGGTCAAAGCTCAACCACTGAGCCACACTGGCTGGGCAGAAGGCCAATTCTTTAAAATGATATAATTTACACTTGACATTTCACGCATCTGTAGAGAAGTGCAGCTATTTACCCATCGAACACCGAGCCTGGTGATCCTGGAGAGAGCGGTGCCGTCGGCCCTCCCTGAGGCCAGACCCCCTCCCGGCGGCCCCGGCAGGAAGGGAGCCGCGGGCCGCGGTGTGTGATGAGTGAGCGGCGTGGAGGCCAGAGAACGGCTTGAGGACATCCTGCCAACACCAGCTCGGTAGGACCAAAGTCTACAACCAGCTGTTCACACGTCTACAAAGATGACGCGTCTGCCTCTCAAGATGTGGATTAGACTTAGGAATACTTAGGGATTATGTCATCTTTAGGAGGTGCTTAAGCATGATTTACTATGCCCTAACTCTCTGAAAACTAGTCATCCGCATGTAATCTTCAGGGAAACCATTAACCAAAATGTTACTACTCAACAGTCCCGGAAAACGTCTTTGATCTCTGCTGCTCCATGTGCTGCGTGCTCGGGTTCGGTCGGAAGACAGGATGGATGAGGAGGAGCTGACATACAAAAGGCTGCTGCCAGAAATGTGACTCCCTCGACTTTAGTCCCCAATTTAAGTAAATGAAAAACTAAGGTCTGTGATGTTCAGCCCTGGCTGGTGGTGCTCAGTGGTTAAAGCACCAGGCTGTGTACTGAAGGGTCATGGGTTCGATTCCCAGTCAAGGGCATGTAACTGGGCTGTAGGTTCAATCCCCAGTTGGGCAGGGCGTGTGCAGGAGGCAGCAGATGGATGTCTCTCTCACACATCGATGTTTCTATCTCTCCCTCCTTCGCTCCCTCTCACTCTCTCTTTAAAAAAAATGCAATGGAAAAATATGCTCAGGTGAGGGTTAAATAAATACATAAAATCTGCAACACGCAGCAACGCACAAAGCATAATAGATACCATCAGCCCCAGCGAGAGGAGCCGCTGTCACACTATGAGGTGACTCTGCTCCTCCCTGTCCCATGCGTATTCGGGGTCTTGAATGGGTTTGGGGTCAAATATATGTTTTATCTGAAAGGTGCCACTGCTCCTGTCACTCAGCAGCCACCGGGAGTCCCCAGGGCGTCATCAGGCCGCAGCTCTGAGACTCGGACCTTCCCAGGTGAGGGCCCAGGTGAGAGCGCTAACAGGTGGAGACAAACCCGCCGGATCTCCCTCGGGATAAGGTGCCGGGACCATGTAACATCTCCAGCCGACAACACTCCCAGCTCCCGGGACACGCACCCAGGCCCTCAGCCGCGGGAGCAGCACGAGGACAGCGACCTCCACGCAGGGTCACCCAGAGCGAGGACGGGGTAACTGGCCAAGGAAGGAGGCTAACTTACACCTGACTGTCCAGACCGGAGGCTTTTAGATTGACAGGAGGTGCTAAGAATTCTTAAAAGACAACTTTTATAAATGCTGCCATGTGGCCTGACAAACTAGTTTTCCTATATTGATGTCAAATAGTTCAGAGCAAGATGCATTCTGACCGCCTGTCCTGACAAGTGAAACTCAATACTTCTTACCAATGCGCCCTTTCCTCTCTCGAGCTCCGCTTCCGAACAACGGGAGAGACCGGGAGTCCCGGTGGCCGAATCCACCTGCTCCCAGGGCGGGCGCCGGGCCTGCAGCGATAACGGAGAACTCCCCCTTCCGAAATCTGACACTCGGGTGCCAGCCCTCGCTTGCCCCCATGCACGTGCTGTGCAGAAGCTCTCTGCTATTTCGTTCAAACTGTAAAAGCAAACAGGAAGAGGACATACCCAACACACAAGGTCTCATGAAAAAGCCATTCTTCAGCTTGGGGTCTTCGGGTACGTACGGGTCTCCCCCACACAGCACCTTAGCCCCCTGCCGAAAAGGAAAACAGAATGCGTACTTTCCGTGACACATGCGACCCCCACGTGCAGTCCTAGACCAGCTTAGTCACTCTGCTGCAGAGCGGGACCCTGGCCGGCACCCGGAGGGCTGCAGGAGGGCTCCGGCCTCCGGAAGGCCCTGCGCCTGGTGGCGGGGGAACCGCCCCCCCCCCCCCCCCCCCCCCCCGCCAGCCCAGCCCAGCCCAGCTCCCCGCCCGTCCTCACCTGCTCCTTGGCCACTTTCACAAACCCGAGGACTCGCTCCAGGTGCGGCCGGTTGATGAGGGGGCCCATCCTGGTGTCCTCCAGAAGGGGGTCTCCAATCTTTATCCTCTGGGTCTGTTCCACCACTTGCTTTGTGAATTTATCAAGAATTTTCTTTTGCACAAACACTCTTGTGCCATTACAGCAAACCTGAAAAAGAGGCAAGCATTTATCAGCATGCAAAGAAGAAAAAAGGAAAAGGGGGAGGGGGGGAATCCCAAAGGTTTAGGCTTAAAAAGAACCCACTGCACTAAGGTGACCAGATCGTCCAGATGTTAGCGGGACAGTCTGATTTCTAACAATTTTTCCCGCATCCTGCGGCTTTTTAAAAAAGTCCCGATTCTTTCCAATGCTTGGACGATCTGGTCACCTTGCACTACACCTTTGTGAAGGTTCGGTCCCTTTGTAAAGCTCCCGTACTAACAAGGATTGCACATGTGACTGGACACATCACGCCTGCAGCACAGCTGTCTGAGGTAGCTGGCATCTCCTGGTGTTTGTTTAAACTTTAAAGTCTCCTAAGGCTGTCAACAGCCATAGGACCCAGTCCCTCTCCTGTTCGCTCACATCAGCTGCTCGATTTGGCTGCATATTTAAGAGTAAGGTCAGAATGGGAGGGGACAGTAAAAACAGTTAAGAACCAGGGCTCGAGCTAATGAAAACCCAGAGCATTTCATAGTCAGTGTTTTCTCCAGAATCTACAATAAATAATGAGTATCCAGACTCTCCATGGATGTGAACGTCAGGACTGCTCAGCGGCTACCAGCGCACAAGGACCATGAAGGCAGCGGCAAACACAGGGAGAAGAGCCAGTTCCACGTGAAACGGAGGGACCCGGGATGTTAGAGAAGGCAAAGCGCAAGGAAGTGCCTCTGAGATGCTAACTTCTGTTCTTGCCCAGGAAAGAAGGGGAATAAGAAGCCCGCCAGCACCTTTCACCTGTGTGAAAAGCAGCACAGGAAGGAAAACTCGGGAACAGGTGGGCCTGTGGTCTCCTGGGGGAGGGAAGGCAGGAACAGGATTGGAGGGAGAGTAGGAGGGGACCAGGTGGGAGCAATGGGGGCACCAACACCTGTGTGTGGCTTCTGTAAAATTCTGCCATTTAGAACCATTACCATGTCCCCTAATCACAATAAACACAACTTTTAACACCAGCAAGAAAGGGGGAAATAAATCTCAAAATGAAATAAGACAGAAGTTGCGAACTTGTTATTAAAATGAGTATCACAGCCACAATGTGGGCGGGGAGAAGGAAGAACCGCCCAATCAGCTCTCAGCTTTATGCCCTCTGGCTAAGGACAGGAGCTGTGAAAGGTATGAACTCCTGCTGGAAGACTTATTTTCCCAAACCTGCAAGTACTACCAGCTATTCCAGGACTCAGTTACACAGATGGACTGTGGGGGACGGACGCCCAACCTCTCTGCTAGAGAGCTATAAACAGGGAAGGGCGAAGGCAGCACAACCCTGCGGTATTGGAATGAGTAAAAATATGTGTATGAACGTGTGGTCATTAACACAGATGCATGCAGAAACACGTGTGTGCACATGTATGTGCGTGTTGCATGAAAGTACACACACACATGCCAACATCTATTCCCTTCTCTGGCCCCCAGGAGGGTCTGGAGGCAGTGGCACCCAGTAAGGAGTCCGCCTGGCACCCAGACCTTGGCTTCTAAACACCACTCACCGCTGACCAGGGCCCCGGAGCAAGGCTGCTGCAGAGCTCGGCCAGGGGAAAAGCGCGCGTCCAGAGCGCCTGCTGTGCCAGGAGGTCAAGTGCTCAGACCGTGAAGACATATCAAAAGGTCAAGAGAGGGGTCCCGCCCTGGCCAGTTTGGCTCAGAGGATAGAGCGTGGGCCTGCGGACTCAAGGGCCGGGGTTTGATTCTGATCAAGGGCATGTACCTTGGTTGCAGACACATCCCCAGTAGGGAGTGTGCAGGAGGCAGCTGATCGATGTTTCTAACTATCTATCTCTCCCCCTTTCTCTCTGTAAAAAATCAATAATATATATATATTTTTTAAATATATTTTATTGATTTTTTACAGAGGAAGGGAGAGATCTAGAAACATCAATGATGAAAATAATCATCGATCAGCTGCCTCCTGCACACCCCCTACTGGGGATGTGCCCGCAACCAAGGTACATGCCCTTGACTAAAATTGAACCTGGGACCTTTCAATCCGCAGGCAGACATACTCTATCTACTGAGCCAAACCAGTTTCGGCCAATAAAACATATTTTTTTTTAAATTAAAAAGAGAGGGGTTCCACCTGCTGAGTCGCAATCATTTGAGCATCAGAATAAATACTGGGTGGTAACGCACAGAAGGACACAGGGTGCGTGGGTCCGGCTGACAGGGATGAAGGAATGAAAAACGGGGCCGGGAAAGCTCTTTCTCACAGTAGAAAGTGAGCTACAAGATGTAGAGGGGCTTCCCAGCCAGTGTGGCTCAGTGGTTGAGCGTTGACCTATGAACTAGGACGTCACGGTTCCGTTGCCAGTCCGGGCACGTGGCCAGGTTGCAGGCTTGATCCCCAGTGTGGGGCGCGCAGGAGGCAGCCAACCCATGACTCTGTTATCATTGATGTTTCTCTCTCTCTCTCTCTCCCCCTCTCTCTTAAATCAATATAAAAATGGTCTTAAATGAACATAATGAAATGTAGACCTTTGAGGAGCCTGGCTCCCAGGAGCACGTGAATTCTCTGTACGATGAACAACCCTCCTCTACATCTGAAACCATTTCCCAGGAAAGAGCCTCTTTAAGACACGCCGTCCCCGCACACGCACCTCGCCCTGCGTGAGGAAGTTGGCCATCAGCGCCCCCTTCACCGCGTTCTCCAGGTGGCAGTCTTCGAAGATGATCAGGGGAGACTTGCCTCCGAGTTCCAAGGTGACAGGTTTGATTCCTTTCGCCGACATCTCCATGATCTTGGGGGACAAGAAAGACCACCGTCAGGGGTCTAACAAGGGAGTCGCACGCCGGGTGACAGACCCCGACCTCCAGAGGCAGCGGGCTCTGCAGCCCTGCCCCTCACACGCCCTGCTCCTCACTTAGCCTCCCTCTCCGGGCTCCGAAGCCAGAGGCGCCCCAACACCTCAGGAGGGAACTCACTTTAAAAAACTTGTCCGCGCACCGATTGCACGGGCAGAAACTCTGTTCACTGTCACTGTGCTCAGGCTGACAGCCCCGACCGATCGCAGATCGAGGTCAGAACAATGAGTGTGAAATGGACTGGGAGGCACCTTCCCTCTGAGGTGGCCGCGGCAACAGAAGTGCTCTAACTGCCCCGTGGGCCCGGCCGCCCGGCACCAGGCTGAAGGCGCCCGTCCGCCCGCGTGCACCCCCGTCAGACCCCCGTGGGTGACACCCAGGGCCTCCCTCCGGCACGCACAGGCTCGGTGGCCACTCCCACAGTGGATGCCATCGCCCCGCCCTGGCCGCTGGCCTCACCTTGGTGCCGGTGGGCACGCTCCCGGTGAAGGAGACCTTGGCCACGTCGCGGTGCTCACACAGCAGCTGGCCGGTGGCGGCGCCGCCCTGCACCACGTTGAAGAGGCCGGGGGGCGCCCCCGCCTCCGTGTAGATCTCGGCCAGCAGCAGCGCAGACAGCGGCGTGAAGGGGGACGGCTTGAAGACCATGGCGTTTCCTGCGCAGGCCCAGCACACAGAAGACTCGGTGGGGGTCCCCTCCGGACAGGATCTCGCCCTCCCCCCACACCTTCCCACCCCGGTCTCGCGCATTAACCAGACCATACCCCGCTTGGGCCGTCCCCAGCAGCCCCTCTGCATGTCCAGGTCTCTGACCGGCACCGCCTCACCTGACACCTGCACTGGGAAGCAGCAGGCAGGCCTTCTCCCTTCCACAGGTGAGACTGGAGGAAGGTTAACGGCCCTGACAGGTCCCCAAACCAGGACGGCATCTAGCTCTCCTCCGTCCCTCCGCGAACAGAACGCGGAGGGCAGCAAGCAAGTGGCTGCGCCTCCACACGCGCCCCCTCCCACCTCCAGCTGTCCTGAGTCTTCTCTCCCCGCGGACCCCCTGTAAGTGGTCTGCCAGCCTAAGCTTCTGTGGTGGGGGCTTTGGGTGTCATTTCTCGTCACACAAATGGAGGAGGAAGTTTATCTCCTGCTTCCTTATTTTTTAAGTTTTTGAGGTTTTTTAAATCTTCACGGGAGGACATTTTTTCCATTGAGTGGAAGGGAGGAAGGAGGGGAGGAGAGAAAGGGGGAAGAAGAAAAAGGGGTCGAGAGAAAGAAAGAGAGGAAGAGAGAAAGAGAGAGAGAGAGAGAGAGAGAGAGAGAGAGAGAGAGAGAGAGAAACATCGATGTGAGAGGCACATCCATTGGCTGCCTCCCAAACATGCCCCAATCAGGGCCAGGGATTGATCCGCAACCAAGGTATGTGCCCTTGACTGGAATTCGAACCCAGAACCCTTCGGTCTGCAGGCTGATTCTCTAATCACTGACCCACGCCAGCCAGGCAACCTTCTGCTTCTTCAGTCAGATTCCTAAGTGCTCCCCTGCGCAGAAAGTCATGGCCAGAAAGAGGAAACTTACCGGGAACACAAATCTCATCCAATCTGACAGTGACAACAGGACCTCTCAGACCACACTCTCTTCCTCCCCATGAGCAGAAACGAATGAGACGAACACGAGCAGGGAAAACACAGACACGATCTGTGCGCATCACACATGCAGACTCCCTCTGGCATGGACACGTGCCCTCTGAGGCTCTGCATGCCCCGCACGGCCCTTCTGATGGGGAGTGTGTGTGTGAGTGTGAGTGTGTGAGTGTGCATGTGTGTGTGTGTGTGTGTAAATATGTGTGAGTGTGAGTGTGTGTGTGTGCGCGCGTGTGGGTGTAAATATGTATGAGTGTAAGTGTGTGTGTGTGCGTGTGGGTGTAAATATGTGTGTTAGTGTGTATGTGTGGGGGGGGTGTAAATATGTGTGTTAGTGTGTGTGTGTGTGTTTGTGTGTGTGTAAATATGTGTGAGTGTGGGGGAGGTGTAAATATATGAGTGTGAGTGTATGAGTGTGAGTGTGAATGAGTGTGTATATGTGTGTGGGTGTAAATATGAGTGTGAGTATATGAGTATGAGTGAGTGTATGAGTGTACATGTGTAAAGTGTGTGCTAGTGTGTGTGAGTGTGAAAGTGAGTATGCCAGTGTGTGTTAGTGTGTATGTGTGTGGTTGTGAGTTTGTGTGTGGGTGTAAATATGTGTGTGAGTGTGAGTGTGAGTGTGAATGTGTGTGTGAGTGAGAGTGTGCACGCAGAGGTGAGGGGAGAGGCACACAGCGGACCCCACTCCCACACCCAATGGAGGAACAACTCTCTTACCACAAGCTAAGGCGGGGGCCGACTTCCAGGAGGCGATCTGGAAGGGGTAGTTCCAGGCTCCGATGCCCACGCACACGCCCAGCGGCTCTCGTCTGGTGTAACCGAAGGACCCGCCGGGGAGCTGGATGTGCTCGCCTGGGGGGAGACAGGAGCAGAGGGGAGGTCTGCTGCCCCCCGGCACCCCAACACCTGTGCTTCCTGGGGCCCCACCTCCTCCGGCTGCTCGCAGCACATGATGCCCCCTGCAGGCTCCTGTCCCCTCTTGTCCCCTACTCTCTCCTGCAATCCTCCACACAGCATCCACATTCACCCCACGTCACCCCACCTCACTCCCTCCGAGGCACTCTGCGCACGGTCACCCCACTTCACTCCCTCCTCTGAATCAGGTGGCATGAAGTGAGGAGAACCAGGCCTGTCTCACCCCAAAATCTTTGCCCTTCACCTCGGCTCTGCCCTCTCCCTCCACAGCTGAGGGAGGAAGGCCGGCGGGAGGCTTACCAGCCAAGGATCCTGCCAGGCCCGCGTAGTACTCCAGGCACTGCCAGGAGGTGTCGATGTCCAGGCGGGCCTCCAGGATGGACTTGCCGTTGTTGATGGTCTCCAAGGTGGCGATTTCCTCCTTCCGCTCCTGTGGGCGGCAGAGACTAGATTTAAGACACATTACCATACTGCACAGCAGTCAACACCCAGACAAAATACATGCCCCAGTTTTAAAAAATAAAAACTTCTTTTTTGTAATGTTACATTTGTTCAGGTTTCACTGACGCAACCACTCCAATTTTTTTTTTAATATTTTTATTGATTTTAGTGCTTGAGGGAGAGACAGAAACATCAATGAAAGAGAAACATCAATCGCTGTCTCCTACATGCCCCCTACTGGAGATTGAGCCCAAAACCTGGGCCGTGACCGGAAATCAAACTGGTGACATCTGGTGGACAGGACGATGCTCAACCGAGGCATACGGGCCAGGGTGAAACAACTTTTATTTAAATGAAAAGAAAAGGAATGGCAGTCTTACACTGGGAAGAGATAAAAGCTTATTGTTGAGCCCCAGCCAGTTTGGCTCAGTGGATAGAGCATCAGCCTGAGGACAGGGTCCTGGGTTCGATTCCAGTCAAGGGCAGGTACCTTGGTTGTAGGCTTGATCCCCAGCCCCAATCAGAGTGTGTGTGAAAGGCAACCAATCAATGTGTCTCTCTCACATCTATGTTTCTCTCTCTGACTCTCCCTCTCCCTTCCACTCTCTCTAAAGATCATGGAAAGATTTATCCTGATGAGAATGAAAAACAAAACAAACAAACAAAAAGCTTCTTGCTGAACAGGAGTCCTGTTCTCCCATCCAAGACCCATTTCAAGATCATTTAAAAAAAGAATGCTCCGAAAAGTGAATATTATATATGCATACATGTATGAATACATATGTATGTGTTTGTATGTATACAGTAGAGAAGTTATGCAAAATAGCCGACTACATGTTTGACACTGAAGAAGTTATAAGCATACAAGGCTTTAATTCCCCAAAAGAAATGCAGCGTTGCCTCGGCCAGTGTGGCTCAGTAGATGAGCACTGACCTATGAACCAAGATGTCATGGCTCGATTCCTGGTCAGGGCACATGCCCGTGGTTGGGGGCTCAATCCCCAGTGAGGCATGCAGCAGGCAGCCGATCAATGATTCTCTCTCATCTGGAAAAAAATTATATGTATAAAAAAAAAAATGCAGTGTTATTTTCTAATGCTCAGAACTCACTAATTCTCTTTTCAAACACCTTTTCCAGTTGTATCTGGATGCTCAGGGATGAATGGCGACATTTGGAAAATTACACCTATAAAGAAAATCTGAGGAATGCCTTTCTCCCTCCCAAAGATGATGACAGGACTGAAATGTAAGAGAAAGATACTTGCTATTATGAATCCAATTTAAAATAAACAGTAGGGTCAATGTCTGTACATAAAAGATGAATCAAACAAATGAAAAGAAAGAGCATTGTTTTACCAAAACTATAACGAGCATCTGGCATGGTTGCTTTTGTAAAAGTGTAAAATAGTTTAACTGTTTTTGAAGAGGGGAACATGTATGAATCTATGAAAGCTTCCCAGGCAATTACGGTAAAAATGAATCCGAGAAAGGTTGGAGGACTTAAGGGTCATCAGAGGAGAAAGTAAGAAGAGTCAAGTGCACAGAGTTAAAGAGGAGAGCCCTGGCCGGGTAGCTCAGTGGGCTAGAGCACTACGCCAAAGTTGGAGGTTCGATCACAGGTCAGGGCACATACAAGATTCAACCAATGAATGCATAAATAAGTGAAACAAGAAATCAATGTTTCGCCGAAACCTGTTTGGCTCAGTGGTAGAGCGTCAGTCTGTGGACTGAAAGGTCCCAGGTTCGATTCCAGTCAAGGGCATGTATGTTGGTTGCGGGCACATCCCCGGTGGGAGATGTGCAAGAGGCAGCTGGTCGATGTTTCTCTCTCATCGATGTTTCTAGCTCTCTATCTCTCTCCCTTCCTCTCTGTAAAAAATCAATAAAATATATTTTTTTAAAAATAAAAAAAAGAAATCAATGTTTCTCTCTCCCCCCACACCCCTCTCTCTCTTAGAAAAAAATTACCAGAAAAAGAAATAAAATAAGGTGAAACCGGTTTGGCTCAATGGATAGAGCGTCGGCCTTCAGACTGAAGGATCCCAGGTTCGATTCCGATCAAGGGCATGTACCTTGGTTACTGACACATCCCAGTGGGGGGTGTGCAGGAGGCAGCTGATGGATGTTTCTCTCTCATCAATGTTTCTAACTCTCCATCCCTCTCTCTTCCTCTCTGTAAAAAATCAATAAAATATATTTTAAAAAGAAAAAGAGACAAGCTACAAAGCACATGTTTTAATTCAAACAAACATGGAAAAGAAACCCATCCCGGAGTCGGCACAGAGAGCCAAGATCCACACGGAACTCCTGTGAAGGCTCGCTGCACACGCCCAGGTGAGCAGGTGGAAGTGCTTTCCGGTTCCACAAACAAGCCTAACCTAACAGTGGCCCAAAGTCCGCCCACACCGCCCGGGGGCAGTGCCCTGGAGCGCAGACAGCAAGCTCTCCCTCTTCCGAAGGGGAGACGGAAACACACCCTGATGATCCTGGCGGCCTCCAAGAGGATCCGGCCACGCTCCAGGCCCGACTTCTGACTCCATATTTTGAAGGCGGCCTTGGCATCCTGAACAGCCAGATGGACCTCCTTCTCTCCGGAGCAGGTGAAAGTGGCAATCACGCGGCCTAGGGGAGCGGGAGCCGGTTACCCACCTGTGGCACACGTCTAAACAAGCATCGTGCATTCACCTGCCTCTTCACCACCCCTTCTCCTCTTTAAAGAGGTGGCTTCCCTTCGCGGCCTCCTCTATAGCAGCCGTGCTGAACTCCATCCTGGGGTCACTGGCCGCTTTAAGAATCTAATAAAAGTTGCAGACTTCTCTGCAGAGCAATATAATCACATGACATAATTGTGGAGATCACGCCATTGCAAGAGCACACCCAGACCTTGCGTGAGGAGCCCCTGCCCGCCTGCATTTTACTGGCGGTTTACAGCAGGTAACTTCCTAGCAATTACTTCATAATGCTCCTTACGATGTTTGAGAAGCTGAGGTCTTGCAAAATCAAGGTGCAAAGTGCAGTCTCCCCAGTTAATAGCTGAGTTTAAATCCCTGTCTACGTTCTATATAAACCACCTCCTGGTAATACTGATGAGCACGCTTAATAAACAGCAATGCCAGCCAAAGAGACCCCTAAGGCCAGGGAGGGTTTTCCCCTCAATTACTAAAAACAAGGAATGCCAGCCTCTCCTCTTCTCCCCCAGCATCACTCCTACCCTGTTCTGGGCCAAACAGGCTTACTTCCCGGCCCAGGCCCGGGGCGGTGACTGCCCACGGGGATGGGTAACTGAGAGGGCAGGCGGGGGCAGCGCTGTTCCTGGGGTTCGCTCCCAAACAGCCAGAGATACAGGCAGCGGTAAGACCACGGTGCAGACGTTAACAGAACCGCGGGCTGTCCTGCTGGGCGTCAATCTGGGGGAGGGGGGACAGAGGGGGGGCAGAGGGGGACAGAGGCGCTTCCCGGGCGGAAGGGTGGCCCCGGGCGATCGCGGTGCCACGTTCGCGTCCAGGCCGCCGCGAGCCACTCGGCGCGGCGCTTCAGGCCTCTGTGTTGTGCACAAACGTTCTCTCTTTCTCCCCAAGAAAACCCACCGCCAGCACCGCCAGCCCGCACCCCGCCCTCAGCATCGGAACCCCCCCAACCCACCCCGCGGAGACCGGGCTGCGGCCCGGCCTGGGCTCCGGTCACGGCCTCCCCCGCTCGCCCGTCCCCCGCGCCCCGGACCCTCTCACCCTCACCCGCACCCGCACCCGCACCCTCGCCCTCACCGGTGGCCGGCTCGAACGCCGTCTCGGAGCCCGAGGCGTCCGCGGGCTGCAGGCGGGCGCCGCCGCGGTAGTTGAGCGGCTGCGAAACGAGGAAGCTGCCGGTGCTCATGGCGGCGGCGGGGCGCAGGGAGCGGAGCAGCGGGGGCAGTGCGGCCCGCCCGGCGCGGGGCAGCATGCGGGGCGGCGGCGGCGGCGGCGGCGGAGGCCGAGGTGCGGGCAGCCGGAAGCCGGTGCGGGGTGGGTTGCCGGTCCCGGAGCCTCACGCGGGACAGGCCACGGGAGGGGCGGGGCCCCGGGGGCGGGGCCTCTAGGGTGGGCGGGGCCTGCTGGTGGGATGAGGTGGGATGTGAGCGCAGGACCTCCTGGCGAGGGCGGGGCGCGGGGGGGCGGGGCAGGGGAGGGGGCGGGGTCTGCGGGACTATTGGGGGCCCTCGCTTAGCCGGAAGTTTGGGGTGAGCCTACACGCGTTCTCTCTTTCTCCCCTTCCTCTCCCTCCTCCTCCTTCTCTCTCTCCCTTCCCTCTCCTCCCCTTCCTTCTCCTTCTCTCCCTCCCTTTCCCCCCCTCCTCCTTTTTTTTTTTTTAATATGTTTTATTGATTTTTTACAGAGAGGAAGGGAAAGGGATAGAGAGTTAGAAACAGCATGAGAGAGAAACATGGATCAGCTGCCTCCTGCACACATCCTGAAGCATGGTAGCAACCATGGTGGGTAAAAATTGCTATTCAATATTTTAACCCTGGTGTTTGGCTTCTGTACTTATTTGCTCGCTAAAACAATAGAAAAGTTATTTTTATTTTGTGAACTTACGTATGCTATCCCAATTGATTTGTGAAAGAAAAAAGCCACCTGCTAACCTGACAAGCTCAGGGAAGGCCTGCGTGGCAGTCTTGCAAACCCAGAGACCTAAGATAACTACAAAGGATGGTTTGAAAATTAAATATCTAACAGGTTATAGTAGGTAGTCACGTCCCAGATATTTTCCCAGACAAAGATCAACTTTGATCTTTTTACTGAGCCCCTCTGCCTTCCTGCCTCTAAGATAACATATCTGTGAGATGTCTGGGTAACTTGTAACTTCCCTTTTTCCGGAGCCCCTGGGGAACAACCAAATGTGGTGAGCGCCAGGACAGATGCCTCAAATTCCTTCTTTATCATGTTAATAGTTCCTGCACTCACCTGAGTATACATCCATCATTTTACTTTTTATCCAATCCCAGGAGTTTCCCACATCTTTGCTTTCTCCTGCCTCCTTACTCCATCACCAATGAATTTCATGTAACTCACCTATGTCCCTCCTTTGATTTCAGTGTATAAATAGAGAAATGTAACCCGCCATTCTTCGGAGCATTATCTCAATCCATTGAGGTTTTGCTTCCCGGCAATTGTCGACAGTTTTGGCTCAAATAAACTCATTAAAAAATTCTTTACAGGTTTCAATGGTTTTTTTCCGTTAACAGATTGAATACTCCATGGATGGTAGTTTGGATATCCATTGATTGTGATCTCACTGGTTATCAAAGCACATTCTTCTGTACCTGGGAACCTGGACAGCTCAATTACCCTAAGTTGTCTCGGTGGCTACAGGTAATGCGTTCCGGGTGACGCAGTGGTTCCGGAATCTGGACAGCACAGTTGTTCTAAATTGCCTCAGTGGCCCCAGATAATGTGTTCCTGTTGATTCAGTAATGCATAGACCCAAAACTATACTTAACCTTCATAGATAACTAACTTGCTCAATTTCACTTCTGTAAGTGCTTTGTGCAAACCAGGGTCCTCATTCATTCCAAACCCAAAGATGCAATTGATACCTTTCTGATATTCTGCCAATATAAGCCGATGTGGCGAGCTTTTCGGGCTGTGAGATCTGGAGCATGTAGCCCCTCGTAGCCGCTGGCCTTTAATAAGTGACTCAGTAACTCGACTTCTTGAGGCGTCCTTTGTACAATACACTCCTACTGGGAATGTGCCTGCAGGCAAGGTACATGCCCTTGACCTGAATCGAACCTGGGACCCCTCAGTCTGCAGGTCGACATTCTACCCACTGAGCCAAACCGGTTAGGGCCCTCCTCCTTTTTTAAAAAAATAATATTTTTATTGATTTCAGAGAATAAGGTAGAGGAAAATAAAAACATCAGTGATTAGAGGGAGTCACCAATTGGCTGCCTCCTGCTTGCCCCCTACTGGGGATCAAACCCCCAACCTGGGCATGTGCCCTTGATGGTCCAAGCGGAAGCTCTATCCACTGAGCAAAACCAGCTGGGACTACCTCTCTCTCTTTCTCAATCTCTCTCTCTCTCTCTCTCTCTCTCTCTCTCTCTCTCTCTCTCTCTCTCACTGTCTCTCTCTGAAAGGGTGGACTTCCTTCTTCCAGACCAGTACCTGCTAATACAGGAGTTTCTGGCTACTTCGCTGCAGGTCACTGCCCTGGGATCCCACCCTTGACCCTACCTCCAGAGAAAGCGGAGGGTTGGGGTGCCAGGAACATCACTTTGGGGGTTACTTCACTCTTAAGCCTCCATTATTGTGCAGACCAAGGGCAGGACGGTCGAGGAGACGCACAGTGTGCATCTGCTTTGTAAACCCCACAGGGCTCTCTGTGGCACCGCCCGGGACGCACCAAGCAAAGGCTCCTCCTGGCAGGCACGGCTCACGCCCAGGGCTCCCCTGGCGCCTCCTGCCTCCGGGAGTCAGAGCCGGAGCCCGTGGGCACGTTCACGAGCGGAAACTGGGCGTGTGGACACACAGCCGAACGTTTCTTTCCTCAGCAGGGAGGTCACGTTCCCAGGGTCCATCCTGTCCCACCAGCACAATGTTAGGGCGGTTTGCAGGGTTCGAGCAGAAAGAAATGACGCTGATCCCTTTTCCAGCCTCTGAGCCACTCTGTGACCTCTCAGCGCCACTGAGGTTGTGGGGCTTGGCCCTGGAGTGGAAACGCAGCCTCAAGCTCAGAACCCAGGGCCCCCTCAGCCACTGTCTTTGCTGTCAGTGTCCATTGGAAAAGGAATGAAGCAACGAGGAGCTGGGACCAGCACTGCAGAGCGTGTGTGTGTGTGTGTGTGTGTGTGTGTGTGTACAGACCACACACCTCAAATCAGGCCTGGGGTGCAATTCCTGTTAAAATCTCTGCCCCCACAAATGCCTTTTGACAAATCATGATTCCTGAAATTTGTTTAGAAACGTGGTCATGATGTCCTTTGATGAAATTCATAGCTTATACAATGACAAACCTCCTCCCAAATATCTAGCTGTTCTTAACTACCTGTGCTTTTATTATTAGCACTAGAGGCCCAGTGCATGAAAATTTATGCACTGGAGGGGGGTCCCTCAGCCCGGCCTGCCCCCTCTCACAGTCCGGGAGCCCTCAGGGGCGGGAGGTGACCTGGCGATCCGGGAAAGGCGACGCTCCCATCACACCTCTGCTGCTGCCACTGCCAGCAGCACAAGCCTCGCTGGCCCTAGTTCCCTGAGCCTGGGGCAGCCCTGGGCAGTTGGGCAGCCGCCACCTGAGGTTTGCCTATACCTCAGGCTGGCCCTGGGCAGGTGGGGGACTGAGGAGACTGGGGGACTCTGGAGGCAGGCACATAGAGGGGCCAGTCCCATCTGTTCCCCTTTCCAGCCATGCCATACACCTGCCACCCCAGCAGGGCTGAGGGGACTGGGCACCATTTTGTGGCTGTGGGTTCTGCCATCTTTGAGGATGTGACCGTCAATTAGCATATTCCCTCCTATTGGCTGTGGGAGCCTCCATCTTTGTGAGGGTGTGAGGGTCAATTAGCATATTCCCTCTTTATTAGATAGGATTATTCAAATATTACTAACAAAAGCCAACATGTAGACAGAGCTTTACAGAGTGTAAAGCCCTCCCATACTCATTTTCTCCGTTAATACTTACTGTGACCCTGGGAAAGAGAAGGAGACCGGCTCAGATAGCTCAGTGCAATTCTGCAAAGCTGTTTTGCTCATCGTTGGTGTAGACAAGGAAGCCAGCTCAGAAAGTTGACAACACCCCACCCCACCCCTTAGAGCACATGTGTCAAACACAAGTCCCGCGGGCCAAACCCGTCCCGCCAGGCCTTGCAATGTGGCCCGCACCGCGCTGTCATCACTGCACTCTGCTGCGTTTCCATCACAATGACAGTTTATGACTGTTCAGTAAACCATTCGGCCCGCGATTTAGGCTGGATTTTAGATTTTGGCCCCTTCTCTGATTGAGTTTGACACCCCTACCTTAGAGGGAGGACCTGGGTGTAGTCCAGGTGCAGGCCCAAAGCAAGTTTCCCCTCTGCAGGTCCAGGTGCTGTCCTCATGAAGGCTGCCATCAGAATTCACTCTTATTTGTGTGGTCATCTATCAAAGGAAAGGGGGCTTGGTTTGAAACCCAGAAAGCTGGCCCTGTGTGTGTGTGTGTGGGGGGGGTTTGAAGGACTTTATACTTTGTTAGAGGATCTGGTTGGCAATATTCCCAAAGCAGCTGAGAAGCCACGGAGGGTGGTACTGCCAGCTCTTCAAGTTCAGGGTGAAATCCAGAGGCACAGAGGGCCACGGGAGCAGCAGGCCTCAGAGGTGAGGCTGGAAAGCAGACGTGGGAGAGAAAGGATGAGAGACAGGCAGACGCGCAGGTGGCTCCATCACTGCCCATCCGGGTTCAGTGGGAGAGCTGGATTGCACAGCCACACCGAACCGCAACTCACAGTTACTGACCAGGAGAGCAAAATGCAGATCTGGGGGGTCAGGTTTCTCCAGAGAAGCAGAATCTATAGCACAGAGAATGGGGAGGGAGGAAGGGTGGGAGAGAGACAGGTTCACAGGACTGTGGGGCAGGCTGGAGTCCGCAGGGCAGGCAGGCGGGCGGGCTGGGCGGAGACTGAGGGGAGGCCTGCTTTGCAGTCGGATGCCAGATCCCACAGGCAGCCCACTGGGAACCTGGCCCATGGTTCCATGTTGCGGAATTGAAGGAAATTCCTTCTTATTTGGAAATCTCGGTCTTTGTCTGGATGAGGTTGCAGTCCTATGGAGCAGGGTCGCCTGTGTCTCCTAGAACCTGCTAGTTGGAATGTTCATCACACTTGGAGAATCCGGGGCGTCTGACGGGACAGGGCCACAGCCAGGCTGCCAGGAAACAAACCCGTTAGGGTCCGTGTGGGATCGCGGGGAAGGAAGGCCCGGGCAGCTTGGGGAAGAGGGGTTGGCTTTTGCTGTTTTATAAAATTCTAAGTGTTTGTATCATTACTTTATT